GAACAACATGGCTGAGATCCAAGGGAATGGAACTGGCTGGGGCTGGCGATAGGTGGTATAGAAACACTGTTAAATTATCTGTTTTACCTTCAATGTATCCTGGATAGTAACACTGGGCCTAGTTTTCTCCTTGGAATTGAAGAGATGATCCTCTATTTGCCTGTTGCCCAGGCTCTTCAGAGTAAGGTCCAAGCCCTCATCAGAATACCAAGGTCTTCAGCAGAGGGCTTCTGGAAGCATGATATCACAGGGAGCTTGCCAGTGTCAGAATTTTCATGGAGAAGCTTGTAGTAGATTTCACTTTCCATCAAAAAGATCTTGCTTGGGAATTGTCCAATGGGAATATATTTCTAGTGCATCATAAAAATACATTCAGGTTCCTGTTAAAAATGATGCCAGGAGCTGTATATTCCAAAAAGGGTTTCCAGTTTCATCCCATACATTTAAATTTTTCTTTTTTTCAGTACCTCTTGCTATGCCATGATGCTTTTATAACCAGATGCAAAGACTACTTCTATACACACATCATAGAAATTGAATTACTGCTATTGAACAGAAACCATTCTAAGAGCTTGGTCCCTTGGCTGTAATGAGCACTTAATTATTGATATTGTATGTGACTGACTGCTATCAACACAGCTTGCAGGAGAGAACAAAAAAAAAATTGGCATCAGTATAAATTCTTTTTCATCTAACCTAGTGAGAGAGGTTCACATTAAAATAGCGATGAAAACACATTTGAACTATAAAACTCATACATTACATAGTGCTAGATGCTACCTATAAAGGAATGTCACAGAGGGAAATTGAGATTATTTCCGGCTCAAGTCTTCCTGGATGCTGATGTAGAAATCTATTATAGAGATCATAGACTGGTAAATGCTACTAGGGTCCAAGACTATTCTCAATGGACAATATATTAAAAGAAAAAAATCAGAGAATAAAAGAAATTATGAGCAGTAAGCAGCATGTGGTTAGAAAGTATGTATTTTGCAAACTAAAGCTGATTTTTAAAAATAGGATAGCAAGAAAATTAATAGATGGGAGTGAAAGTGGTAGTCTTGGATTTTAAAAAAACATACCCCACTTCGTCTATTTCTCAAACTACTGTGCATGGATTATTATCACAGCTTCTGCAGCTAAGGGAGCCTTTAAAAATACTTAGGCTACGTCTAGACTACACTGATTTCCTTGGATACTGGAGGTATCCCGGAAAAGCAATGCCACGTCCAAGGAACGTGTCCGCTTTTTCGGAAAAAAATTTCAAAAAAGCAGACACGCTCTTTCACCATCCCTGTAAACCTCATTTTACAAGGAATAAGGGATGTGTCAAAAAAGCATTTTTTCCCAAAATTTGGCGCTGTGTAGCCGCGCCAAATTTCTGAAAAGCCTCTTTTGACAGTAAAGTAGAAAAAGATACACAATTTGCGTACCACAAGTTGCATTTATTTTTCCGACTTACCATTGCAGTGTAGAACTAAGCAGTTTTATAGCACCTTCTAGCCAAGGATCTCAGACTGCTTAACACATATTAATGAAAGTAGCCTCACAACATTCCATGTGTGTAGCCGCGCCAAATTTCTGAAAAGCCTCTTTTGACAGTAAAGTAGAAAAAGATACACAATTTGCGTACCACAAGTTGCATTTATTTTTCCGACTTACCATTGCAGTGTAGAACTAAGCAGTTTTATAGCACCTTCTAGCCAAGGATCTCAGACTGCTTAACACATATTAATGAAAGTAGCCTCACAACATTCCATG